CGGCTCCAATGTCTTAAACATCATTACCCTACTGGTCTTTAATTTTAATTCACAAAATAATTATATCACGTTTTGCCATCCTATAAAGTAATTTTGTTGCATTGATTCATTCATATCTCACCATTATTTATTTATTTAAAAAAAAAATGTTTTCACCATTAATCACTTTCTAAAAATAAAAAATTAAAAATAAATTAAATGCAGAATTTGCAAATTGATAGGCCTTAAAATACAAATGAAAAGCTCTTTATCTGGAACGAACGATAGAGTCTTGGTACCTTTTGCTACCTTTTCTATTTGATCCCATAAATATGCTCTCTGAATGTTGTGATCATTTCTATAATTTGAACAGTAATTAAAGTTGTCAATTCTTTACAATATTCAAGCACATAAACAAAAAATAATAATTTTCTTTTTACTCTATTATTAGTATTAGCATTGAGGGACATAGACTATTTATTGATCAAAAGTACCAAAAGGTATGTTTTGGAGTGTATATGTTGGCATTGATGATGAATATCTTCTAGTGTTAAGGTAGGATTCTTAACACATCATTCTCTTTGTATTGATATTTTGATCAGAAGAAACGTTTTCTTTTATATAAAAAAGCAATTTATTAATTGCAAATAAATCCCTTAAAAAGAAACAACCGTGTATTGTTGTTTTTCATTTATTTTTCTGTTAGAATACATTAATTATGGGTTTAAAGTAGGTAATACTTTAATCTGTCTTGTCCTTTTCTTTGTTGTTCTCAAATCAAGTTGTTCCACACATTTTTTCTCCTACCTTGTGACCTTATATTATTGTATTTTTCAATTATCATTTTTCTTAGCTTGCCACCCTTCTTAGCTTTTTTTTTATAATTGTTTTCTTTGTTGTAATGGCAAAGCAAGACTTAATAAAATGACAGCTGCAGATATTTTAATGAAAAGACATGAAACTGAGAAATCAAACAAGAATACTGAGGTGAAATATTTTGCAACCTCCTTGTCGCCATAGCGCTGACTGAAAACCAATATTTTTTTTACCCCACAAGAATGACTGACATAATTAAACTGGATCAAGGGTCCCAAATCTGTGACCCATCAGAAGTCCAACTCAGCCCTATCCTCAATGGGAGTTACCATACTATCTAAATGAAAATGTGAAAGACTTGGTTCTTACAGGCCTTAAGATTATGGGAACCACTTCACTGAAGTGTTGTTTAATTCTTCATTCATTAACACAGCCCATTTGATGTTTTTCCAATAATGTACATTGTTTGGTATTTACTAAATTTTGTAAATACATTAACATTACTTCTTGGAATATGCAGCATTTTCAAAGGGGGGCTGATAATATAATTTTTTAAAATTTAAAAAAAAATTGATTCTTAAGTATCAAAGGTCTGTGGTGAATGGCCACCAAGCAATAGTAAAAACTACTGTTTACCTCATTACAGTCTAGTATTTTAGTCCTTTTAAAACTATCGAGATGACATTTAAAGTTGGAAAAATTATTTAACAATTTAAAAGTTGTGTTTCATACTAGCTCAGCATATTCACTATTGGTTACTTTTTGTGAATGTTCAACTGCCAGTAAATACATTGCTATAGATGCATAGTGTATTATTAAGTGCATTAGAAAAAAAAAATGAGTGGATTGAAAAAAAACAACAGATGAAAGACATATTCATCATTTTGTCCTTTTGATTACTGTAATTGTGAATGGTTGTGTTGTTGATTTTCAAGCACTACTGGAAATGAGACAAAGTGATTATATAGACGGATGCACTTGTAACAGTAATTTATTATCAATACCGGAATATGCATGTTATTTTTCTTCAACTTATTGTTGAAAATAATTGAGTCCAGAAGACTAAGTTGTTTGGGATAAAATTTAAATCAACCACATTTTAAGGCTGTATTCCTATCAAACCATTGTCAAGTTTTTCAATACAGTCAATAAATAGTGATCAACATAGATTTGAATTGGGTTCATCTTTTATCAAACTATTCTTAACAGTCTGACACATTAAGATTGTAGACAACTAACAAAATATTTTAGCCTACAGAGTTTTCAAGCATTAACATTTTCAAATAAATGATTACAATTGATTTTTTTTGTTTTTATGGAAGCATATGTCTAAGAAGTAATTTTTTTTATTACTTGAGAATACTTGTTCTCCAAAATATTTTAACTACATACAGCTTAATACAGCAACTAGAATTACAGCTTCTGTCACCCCAATTTTTTTCCTAGGTGTGAATATTTGTGTAACATTTTTGCCTTAAGGGCTAGAGGCGTGTTTAAAAAAATATCTGATTGATGTTTGAAGAGAATAATAAATGTAATTAAGTTTTAATTGTTTTCTTTTGTTTTATTAAAACAATGATAAGGTCCTATGTGTAAATTATGAAATGCAGATTGGAATAGATACCTTTTAAAGAAAAAATGTAATCAATTTTTCATTGAGCTCACTGTATCATTTACCTTATGGATATCATTTGTTGTGTTCGTACTTTTGTTGTGTTCTTGCTTATTGTTTGTCGTGTCCTTACTGGTTGTTGTGTTCGTCCGTCGAAAATTGCCTAGGACCGTCGAGTCATCCGGTGTTGGATGGCTGATGACTTGCGTGGGTTGTTTTTAAAGTGAGGAAGAGCTGTGCAGCATCAACCACGCCTCTCTCCACGCTGCTGGATAACCCATAGAACGTTATGTGATATACAGCTTGGCACCTGTGACCTCGCAGGAGTTGTCGGAATGTTTCATTGTACCAATGTTATCCGCCTCCATCTCCAGGTTTTGATTTCAGAGTTTCCTTCTCTTAGAAGAGTTTCGATCCAAGGTTAGCCAGTCTCATCCACCAGGGGTGCTGGTGGTGGTTTTTTTTGCTTGACTGGCTTTTAGCTGGACTTGAACTCCAGACCACCTACTTGAGATTTTTTGCCGGGTGATAGGGAGCTGGGTGGCCGAGTGGTCTAAACTGTCCTTACTTATGCTACTATATGGGCAGTCGATTCAACTGGACATTAAAAACAAATTTGGATCATGCAGCAGTGAAATTTTAAAATATGAATTATGATGAATATTTTGTTTGCCCACTCTGAATAATCAAAATCCACAAGTTTACTATTCGAGTCTGACAGTGGCAGAGATTCTCTTGGTCCAGAGAAAAATCATTACCGTGCTGAAGGAAATCACTTCAAATCAGTTAAGTGATTCTTTTAAAGGAAATTCTTTCAATGACATTTTCATTGGGCTAGAAAGCCAAGACTGGTAAAATATAATTTAAGATGCAGTAAGCTTAGATAATGTTCAATTTCAATTATTCAGTTAGTATCAGTTCATCTAAGCTCACTTAAAAGTGTGGTTATTAGTTGGACAAAAATGCTGAAGTATTTGACAATTAAGTTTAAGCAGTGAATAAATGCCATGCTTAAAAATTTAATAATTCAGTTATGTTTGGAGTTAAATGTGGAAGCCTCACGCAGAAAGCAAAAGTACATTTATGAATACAAATTGTTTATGTAAAATGCATTTAGTTTTAGTGCATAATGGGGAACATTTGATTATTTATTTTTAAATTATAAGTTCACATATAATTAAAAAAACTGAGGAAGAAAAAAAAAAATCTTAAAAATATTATTTTAAAACTTGTTGTAAACATCTAAACTAAAAATTACTAAAAAAAAATTTTTTTTAAAGAATAGAAAAAAATGATATTACCTCAATCATAGGAATTAGTTTTATTCTTTTTGTATGAAAAATAATAATTTTGTTAAAAAGAATTTATCTCTTCTATTAATACATATATATCAGTGGTCATATGAAGACAGATCAGTTGTCAGATCAAGACGTAGATTAGTGGTCAGATTAAGACATGAATAAGTTGTCAGATTAAGACATAGATCAGTGGTCAGATTAAGACATGAATAAGTTGTCAGATTAAGACATAGATCAGTGGTCAGATTAAGACATAGATCAGTGGTCAGATTAAGACATAGATCAGTGGTCAGATTTAGACATAGATCAGGGGTTGGAAACCTTTGGATAACTTTATGCCAAAAAAGGATTTCTATTACATTCAGCTTGTCAAAAACCTATAAATGTAAGCTTTATTAGAAGCATTATTTAGTCATTTATTATAATATGGTCTCCCACATGTCATTTAAAATCATTCTGCATGCCAGACTTGGTAGAGTGCAATAAACCGTTGAAGTTGTTCCTTTTAACAACAAACTATCGATCCATTTAAATTTGAACTACCTGGAAAACAACTATGTTCAAAATTATATTAGCTTAGCCTATTGTGCATTCAATTATTCAAATGACAAGCTTTCTGTGAGCTGTTTTAAATATTGCGCTCAGGAGTGCCAAGCACCACCTTAGAATTCAAACACTAGTAGGATCTATGTGGTTGAGAGCCGTGACGAAACCTTCAGAAGAGGGTGCCAGTGAACATATGCCTATCTGCATCAGCCAAAATCATATTTTGCTCGAGGGAGCGTGAGTGGTGTAGGTCTTAGGGTGTAAGTCATAGTGAACCAAAGTAGGAAATGACGTCTTACTTAACTTACTAAGTAAGGTCTAATTAAAAGAAAGCTACCTCTTTGGTGTTCCTGAGGTAGCCAGATGGTTTGTCACTAGGTCGAAACCTCTCAGTACCGTTTTAGTTTATCTTATATGGATTCCCGAAGGGCCCATTAGAACTTTGGCTCGGGCCGCTGACCCCATTCCTTATGATTTTCAGTGGCAAACTTTGAAATTTAAATGGTTCTGTTTGTGAGATACTGGGTGTGTTAAGCAAATGTGTGTGTGTTTAGCAATGCCTAGAGAAGCATCCTTACCACTCACGTGACTCCATGACCAGAAACTGAATTAAGCTAAAAGGTTTTAAATAAGAGTAAAACTTTATTTTATTTGGTATGACTTCTTACACAAATCATAAAAACACTGGTGGTGCATATCACCTGTAATCATGTTTCAGAACACATTAACACGAAGCTTGTTGCATTGGTTAAGATATTTATTGTTAATTGTACATGCATGTACAGTATTTAAACATGTTAATTCATTTCCATATAAATATAATATAATACACCTGCTCTCAAGTGTTTAGTTGTAAAATATTCTTGTCATGTGTTGATGAAACACAAAGAAAGAAATAAAAAGTAATTTAAAATATTGTGCGTATTTGGGTAATTACCATGATAGAAACCTGATTATAAATATTGCTATCTAAACTAAAAAGGATTTAATTAGTCAATCAATCAGTCAAGCAATGTATTCCTATCATCCAGATCTTATTTCACATGATGGTTGTAAGTGGTTCGTTCTGTAAGCCTAAAACATAATTAAATAATGCTTTTTTCATTTTTTTACCCAATTTAAAAAAACAACACAATTTTTCAAGTCTAATATATTATTATGTAACTATGATATTGCAAAGTAAATAAGTTTTAAACTGAACATAAAACTGGTTGAATATCAAAATTATTTAATCAAAATACCAAAATATAACAGGTTGTGTTAAAATGGTCAATTTGTTTAAAAGAAATAAAAAATTACAACTTTTAATTTTTATTTGCTGCATTTTGTAATAAAACCAAAAAAACAATTGCAAAAAAAATAGCAGTCTATAGATGCATTGAATTGAACAGTTGATGGATTTGAGCAGAGAAAATTTTATAAAAACGAAATTAGGTGATTGTTAAGCTAAATCACAAATATTTGTGATAAGAATGATAAAAAACATGTCTCTTTTTACATTGCTCCAAGTTAAATGCCATTTCTGAATTAAAAAATTTGACTAATTGTGATGAGATTCTTAAAATGAAGTCTGCAGTCAGAATGATTTAAAATACTAAGTTACTTTCAATGTTTACAATTATTCCAGAAAAATAAGGTAATTCAAAATGCTAAATCTTTCTTAATTTTCAAAATAAGCTAAAAATCTTTATTTCAAAAAGGAAATTAATTGGAGAATGTAATAACCTGTCTTGACATGAATAGTGATTGCTATACAAATTCATTGATACGATTTATATGTGAGTAAATATATGTGATGTTATCACAACATGAGATAAGCAGTCTGTTTATAAATTGCTTATAAAAATATATTTGTAATGACATAGTTATAATGAAACGCCCCTGAGTCTTCCAAGGCATAACACATTCGGTAAGTAAATTTTTATGCATTATCACCTTTTTAAAAAAGAACAGAATTCATTTTTATTTAATTAAAAATGAAAACAGCATATTGAGGGATGATGCAATGTAAAAAGGAAACAATTGGTTCTTGATTTACAAAGCAGGAGGTATAAAGAATAACATTATTTAAAAGACAAAAGAAAAAAAAAGTTTTACGAATGCCTAAATTAAAAAAACCAAAGAAAACAATTTTTTGAACTAACTTACATTTTTTGGGGGATATAACTTAAATGTAATTCCTCTTTTTTTCTTTAAAGAAATAGTGCTTGAAAGATTCATATTTGAATTATTCAGCATAAGGTTTGGTCGTTTTCAATGTGATTAAATATTACTTTGATAGCAGCACAATTAAATTGTATGTTTACTTAGTTTATAAAAACAGCAAACTTGATTTATAAGCTTTGAAAAGGGAGATAAGCTTTGTAAAGGGAGATTATTAAATCAAGTTAGGCATCCTTTAAGAGCAGTTGGAGAAATTTGTTTAATCCCATAATTAACAAAAGTTGGCATTAAAAAAAAAATTATTTTAAATTCGGAGTACAGTTAGTGTAAGGGGTCCAATACTTTTTTACAATTTTAGAGTTAAGTTTTTCAAAGCTGATAATAAAATTCAGCATAGACTAAAACTTTGGAATACACTAATCAAGGTCAAGAAAAGTTAAGTTTTAAGTCTGAAGCACTGCATGGAGTATTGGCGCAAAAAAAATTAAAAATTGAAACATGGGAAAACCATTCTGACCGTTGTCGCACAATCCAGGTAAAAATCTACATATATAATATACATGCAGTGTCACATCTAGGACAATGCATCTCCAAACTTTTTTATTAATACATATTGCAGAATACACGCCTGGCAAGACAAAGAGTTTTGGATTTTTTTCTAAGCGCCAGGCATCTCATTTTGGAAATGGCCTTTTGGTTGCCAAAATGACCCCGGTTTTTTTACATCATTCAGTTGACCTTGATACTCAGTTTATGATCACTGTGTATAATACACTACGATAATGCACCAATAACTTATTTGAGGGGGGGTGTTGTGTTTTCAACAACAAAATATGTCATCCAAACCACCACGTATCCCAATTTGTTACAATAATCCACATTCTACTGTATTTATATTTTTTGTGATGTGCATGTAACATCTAGGGGAAATTCAACATGACTTCCCAGAAGGTCTTGGGTATTTAAGGGGTCAACATTTATTACTTCATTCCAGTGTAAATAATCCAGACGACAAAAAATATTTATGACAAGTAGAAAAATAAATGAAAACAGCACTTGAGTATTAATAGTATGCCTCATTTATGCTCATCCCAGATACACTGTCAGTGAAAGCCTTTTCCATGTTGAATAGGTCAAGGGTGACAGAGATAAATTTGACAACACCAACATCCTGCAATCTTGAGGCCCACAAAGGTTTAGTTTCCATAGTCAGAAGAGCATTTACTATTTCATGCTTCACTTTATCTGAAAATAAATCAACTTTGAACTCACATGTTTACAAATATTGTCTGCAACTGTGGTGGCAGTTTACACTCTTTCAATGGACTTTTTAATTTTATAAATTGCATGAAACTGAGCTTAACTTAAATGTTCCTTAGCTGGATCAAGACACAATTAAATGGAGCTTCATAGACAGATTAACCACAACAAAAACTGTGTGCAATTTATAATAACATTAACATGAAGCTCTTTGGGGATGTTTAACTCTTTGAACCTGAGATCCTGCTTCATCAGTCTGTGTGTTTAAAAATCTATACCCCACCTCTTCAATATTTGGGTTTCCTATACTTTAACTATGAACGTCATTACATATATAAAAATGTGTTGAAAATATTGTGTTTAGAGTTTACCATGTGACTTATGAAAGGTCAAAGTAATGGCCACGCCCATGGCTGCATTGTTTTCCTTTTGTTTCAGTAATGTTTTTTGATATATAATGATGATGAAAATGCAAAAACTGCTATTCTCAAGGAATAAAACAAAAGCAGGTTGATAATAAACGATTCAAATAATTTTTATCGTATTCTCAAAAGGAATTACAATAAAATCAAGCATATTGACCTGCAATGGACTTCAAATAGTTCTAATGATAGAATGTGTGCTTTGGGAAATAAAGAAAACAAGGTCTATCCCTGGTTTTATACAAACAGACAAATTGATATTGAAATAAATAACATTTACGGTATATCATTTTATAATCATTAATTTTTTTTGCTTGTGCGCCTGTAGAAATTTTCCCTAGGAGCCCAGGGACATGGGTATTTTAGGACCAGGGGCTCAGGAACATGAGTATTTTAGGACAAGGAAGATCTGAAGGGGAAGTTTCCCGCATTAAATCATGCAAGTTCCTAAATCTCTTCAAGAAAAATAATATACATATTTGCTTTCCCCTCCGCCAAAGAAAGGTACTTTTTAGTAAGGTATTTCTGAACTTGAAATCAAACCTTGGGATACAATTAAAATTTAAAAATTTCTCAAACCTGAAAGTTTAGAGTTGAAGAGCAGGGGGAAAACTGGTAGAGGTCCGAGTGATGCAATCCGTGTCACGTTCTTTGTATCTTCTGGGTGGTCACGTAGATATTCGGCCAAAACTATGGAATCCACCCCTGATGCAATAACTCGATGTTCTTTTACCATATTGATGGAGGCAAGATGTGAACCTTGGAAATTAAATGTTCAAAAAGTGAAAATAAAAATACACTGAAAGACACATCTGATAATTGCCTGCACTGTAACTAATTATCTAAAAATGGCCTGCATTGTAACAAATAGGACAATGTGAGGGCTTAGCTAAGGTGAACCATCCAGTGCCACCTACTCACTTAACATGGAAAGACAACCCTTCTCTACACAATCAAACTGGGGACAGTGCCTGGTATCAATATGAAACAATGGCATGTACAAACTAAAAATAATTATGTTTTTTTAAACTCACCAGATTCTACAATATTTCCAAAAAATGTGGCATTTGTTTTTAATTTTTTTTTTAAATAGTCCAAAATAACAACATTTCCACTAAGTGATAAAGGATTGTTGTATGCCCAGCTACAACCCTTAAGATCCGCTATTGTCTTGTACTTTTCTCTGGAATAAAAGATGTTTACACACAAGTTTTAAAGCCTAATTTGGACATACAACTTTTGAAGATACATTTTAGGAAGAAAATCCTCAAAGTAGTTTGAAAACAAAATCATTAAAAAATCAACTTATGTTGTAATCATTAAATAATATATACAAGAATATAATTAAATATAACCAAGGTCAATCTAAACATGGCTCTAAGTAACATGAATGGATGCATGAATAATTTTGTGTGTAACAATTGAAGAATTACTTGTTGGATGCATGAATTATTATTTCAGAAAAATAGACTGCCTTGTCCTTATTTAGCGAATGTTTGAAAACAGGTGCGGCTGGACAAAGCTCCATGTCAGCTTGGTTTTCAGCCACCAGACGTAAAAAATCTGTACTGTGTACCGCAACTGGAAAATGAAAATATGCACTGAAATAATGTTACATTTTTTTATAGTCACTTTTCGATACACTACTGAATGCTTTATGTAGGAAAAGGTTCACAAACAATTTGGATCTATTAACTACTCAGCATTGGCATAAATGTTAACAGTTTGACAACCACTTTGAATAGATCAAATGAAACAACTGTATAGGATATGCTAAGACTTAGTATTATGCTCAAGAGCAGTGAGGTCCAACAAGCGGCCAAAAGGCTTTGAGGATATGCCAAGACTTAGTACTTAGTATTATGCTCAAGAGCAGTCCAACAAGTGGCCTACAGGCTTTGGCCCATTATAAATGGCACACCAGAGCCAATGCAATTATAATATTCATTTTAAGTAAGAAGTTAAAATCAACTGAAACTGCCCTACTTTCAAAGCTATTCCTTTAGCAATCAGCAAAACCAAATATATTGACATAATTTATCTTTTCTTTGATGTTAAGAAAAAGATATTATAACTTATCACACAGAAGAATCAAGCCCTGATTAATTTAAATCATTGCATGCCAGTATATGATGAAAAAGCAATGCAGCAGGTGTAACCAAAGGCATCGGCAAATGTGAAACCACTGGCATCTACAAATGCCAAACCAAAGACATCTACAAATGCCAAACCAAAGACATCTACAAATGTCAAACCACTGGCATCTACCAATGTCACACAAAAGACATCTACCAATGTCACACCAAAGACATCTACAAATGTCACACCAAAGACATTAACAAATAATCCCTCACCTCATATCAACTGTAAACAAATTATTTATAATATAAGGCATCACTTAATTCTAAGAAGATAAAATTTTGCAACATCAAGTGGGAAAGTAAATAACTACCCCTGAATATTTAGAAAATACGAGGTGTGCAGTTTCTAATAATCAGCTGCCAATACAAACATTTTACCCACAATTCAAATTAATATTATGATATCTTACCAAAGACATGTGTCAAATATTCTAGTGGTTGAATATTTGGCTCGTTGTCTAGGTTTATGATTCTCGCTTTTTGTTTACATATCTTGTAAATCTTGTCACACAACAGACTAGGTTGATTCATCAAAACAATACGCTTCAAGGTACATAAGACATTTATTTTGATGACAGCAGTACTAGATTAATCTGTCTCACAGTTTAGTGAACATGAATCCAAAAATTATATGGCAATATTCCAATCAGCAAACATATCCTGACAAAAATCCACTATCTCCAAAAAAAGACGTCTCACTGTAGCGAGTCCTATCTCTCGTCTAACCTCTGTGAACGTACTCCCCCGTGACATAATAATTATTCTCCTCACAATCCGCATTCGTCCTCAAATCATCACACACACACTACCTCATGATTTCATGACCTTGACAACATGTTTGAAAGTTTATTTACTTTCTGTTCTTTTCAAGAAGTAGTAAAATTTGAAGCATATAAAATTTAAATTAAAGTTAATAATTCTCAAAAAATTTGAATAGCTTCTTTTGAGTTCTTTTATGCTGTAATTAACTTTGAGACACATTTTTGTACTGCTTTAAAAATTGATCTGTGCCTTTCAGACTTTTTCAAAGAAGGATATATAAATCTATGTTATAACTTTTACATTGTTTCAGGTAATTTTTTTTGGCTAAGAAAATGTGTATTGATTGTATAACTTAAGTTAATTTAATGCCTTTTTATAATAGCGGTTCTCATGTTTTCCTATTCAAAATGGATCTACTATAAGACTCAATCCATTTCAAATAGGCGAACGAATATTTGATGGAGGCTTAGAAAAGTTGTCAGTTTGTTAACTATTTTAATATTGAACAATTACCAATGTCTGCACGGTTGTCTGTGAACGGATTAGCCCGATCTACTTGAGGTCCTGTGAAGCGATCCTCAACAATGATTTCAGTCTCAATGTGGGTGGCTTCTTCCAACACGTCACGAACAAGTGAAAAAAAGCTCAGGGGAAGATCTGGACACAGGTATGTCAGGAGTCGAAGATGAGGCTTACCTGGCTCAGTCATTGTTGACGTGATATCTTTATTGTTGGAGAACTACCATAAATTCAGATAATCCTTATTTAATTTAGGCTGGGAAGCTGAGAATGACAATTATGCATTAATTACAATTCATATTTAAAAAAGAACAATGGAAAAAAAATCCTACAAATCACATTTCTCACAATATGTTGTGTACTGATAATGAACCCAGAAAATGGACGTCTTATTCAGTGAGTCACAATTAATTGCCTTGTACTGCCAATGAACCCAGAAAATAGATGTCTTATTCAGTGAGTCATGATCTATTTGATTCATCACTGAAATAACATGAGACAAAATACTGAGATTTTAATACAGAATCTTGCTTAACAACAAATTTCATCACTCTTATATATAAGCATACAAATTTATAACCAACTTCACCCACTTAACCCTGATCCCAACAAAAAAAAAATACCCTTCCTATTCCCATTGTCATCAAATCCCCTTGCAACGTTTTCTTTGAATGGCCCCATCTATTCTTTGAACATGCACACTTCCCAAATGTCAAAATTATCCTAGGTCATTGAATAGGTACTTACTAAACAGCCAATATTGTTATTTTATGGTAGCGCCCAATGGCCAAATTACTGCTGACTGTTATGTACCAGAGTCAATTGAAATTTCACATTTTCTAAAAATAATTTTTTTCTAATCGAACTTGGGTGCATTCCCTCACTTTTCCCAGGAGTCGACCCCTGGGTAACTAGAGGGGTGGGTCAGGCATCACCACTGGCGCATCTCTTCTTAAGTACAGAATTGATAGATTGTACGGGATAGTGTTTAGGGGCCATCCATAAATGGCTTCAAGCAAATTTTGATAAATAAATAAATAAAACTACAATAACTAAATTATTTTATTACTTTCGTATTTACAATAATATTACAATTTATTTTATCCAGGGGGTAGGGGTTGCATGAAATGTTTTGAAATAAAGAGGTGATGTAGCGCTGCAAAAAAGTTAATAGTCCCTGCCCTAGAATATTTGCATAGATCATTCCCCTTCACCATCACCACCACAGCCGTCAACAATTTTTTTTTTTCAATCCAACTTTATGTGTAGCCTTAATTTTATGATTGACACCTGTATCCAAATTTTATATAAATTCTCTTCCCTATGAATGTTGCTACACACCGAATCTCCTCCTCCATGGTGTCATGTAACTTGATCACAGCCATTTTCGGACATTGCATATCTGTACTGATTCTCTTGGTAATAGCGGTGATCGTAGTTTGAAAATTTTTAAACATTTATAATTATAATTGTTGTATGCAAGAATAATGGTAACAATATCTGTTAAAAATTGTGAGTTATATTTTTCAATAATGAATAATGTTTCGCTTTTCTATTACTTAACTGCTCCCCTCTTGTGGAGTACCATCCTCCCTAGATGAGTGGAGTCATTTATGGTGAATGCCCCCCCCCTCCCCCACCCAACTAATTAACAAAGTATGTCATACTTTTAACTAAAAATTATTGTTTACAATTTTTTTAATCTATCTAATTTATTCTAATTAAAATTTAAGATCAAATGCACTTGACTATTAAATTTATAAAGGTGACACCTTCTGTCAGAATAAATCCATCACAAAGTTCAATGTTCCTTTAAGGGTTTATTCATATGATAAAAAAATAACAAAAATTTTTAACACCCCCCCCCCCCCCAAGCACCACGTACTTTGGACGGCCCCTTGCGCCTTAATCATAATCATTTTGACATGGCCATGGCTATACAATATACAAGAGTGGTCTTCATTCATTTGCTATATGGTAGGCTATATAATTACATATAGGCTATAGGCCTAGTTAAGATGTGCCCAAGATTAGTAACTAGGACTACACGTCTTGCTGAGATTACTACTAATACTAAAAGTTATTAAGTTTTACATTTAAAAGTACGCAGGCGCAGGCTAGTGATTGCCAGTCATGTCCTTTTAAATTGTATTTTTGTTTGAGCGCTTGAATGAAGAGTGGATAACATCTTCCGTATCAAAACCTTTAGCTAGTTTCAAAATAGGTATGATTAACGTATGCTGTATTACCTCTTATGCTAATCAACTTACATCAATAATTGCAAGCTTCAAATTTTGACAAATTTAAATTTAGGTGAATCACACGCTATTCACACTTCCACCAGCTGACTAGCAGTTAACACAATGACCCTGACATTGACCTCCGTGACCCGTGACCTCTAAACTCTAATAAATATTCGGATGTCATTTGTGGTAGTTTATTTTAGTTTAACTGAACAATTAAGTTTACAAACATATAGACCATTCAATTATCTTTCATTTGATACCAAATTGTGTCTTACAAACGTACAAACCCTACAATAATTTTTAAATATGTTTTTAATAAACCCAAACTATCACTTCTCGGACCCGGGTCCGAATAGCCGCAGACTTTTGGTTTTTTTTACACCCCCACCCCAACCTTTTCTTTTCATTGCACGAACCAAAAAATGACACCTATAAAAAGATATATTGCTACATAATTTATAATATAGACCTAATATAGATCTTAGATAGATGTATGATACTGGGGAGAAGGGGATCATGTCTGAATTTTTTTTTACCCAGCTTCTTCTTTGCCAAGACCAAAGAAAAGTAAGATGGGCAGTAAAAATAAAATCCAGCTTCAGCTGTAAACATTTTTTGTGTCCTAATTATTAAGATTAAATTTATAAATTAAAATACAGGCCTAAATAATTACTATAAGAAGTTTTACTGTATACAAAGTGTGCATATTAAAATCAAAATCTTTTTACTTTAGTTAAATGAAAATGTATAATAACGTGATTAGGCTTAGGGTAAGGATGACAAAATAAGCTTAGGCCAATCATTGTTTAGGAACATGGTCACTTGAACCAACACCCCCCCCCCCCCCCTTTTTTTTCCCCTTGCTTTTGATTTTCTGTTGTTGGGAGAAACGTCTACTGAGTGTTATTTACATAAATGAGCCCTCATTAACTTATAAAGGCATAGATAGTTTATGTACAAATAAACAATTTCATTGGGTATATTGTGCAACTAAAACACAAATTAATCAATTAATGTCTAGGAATCACCATTTAATTTATTGTAAATGCTATGCAGAGTATGCAGAATCAACTGCACATAATTTTGATGAAAACATAAGCAGTGATACATAAATAAAATAAACTATATACATAGAAAGAAAAACGAATGTAGTATGTCTTGAAAATCCGATTGGAGTGAATTTATGAGACTAGACGAAAACAATAAACAAAAATTGGCGCATGTTTTTTTGTTTTTTTTTGGCAACATACATACTTCAGATTGATTTCAGTGTTGTTCAAAATAAATTGTGACTACCAAAACTTAGGGGCCGTCCATAAAGTACGTCACGCTATTTTTGACCATTTTTAACCCCCCTTCCCCCCTGTCACAAACTGTCACAAATCTCGGACCCCACCCCCCTAAAGTACGTCACACTTCCGAACAAATTTAAAAAAAAAAATTAACACCTAATTAAAATTTAATCTACAACACACTTCACTATTAAACTGTATTAAAATATAAAATTTCCACTTAAAAGAACTATCACATTATTAAAATTACTTTAATAGTAGAAAAGTTAATTGTCAACAGTTGTCACAGTTATTCATTGAAGCAGTAACTCAATCTAGATTGAATTTGAAAACAAAAATTGCAAAAATTAGACTAGACAATTATATAATACAATCATTTATCTGCTGCTTTTTCATTTACAAAAGGTGAGGTCAAGTTTTAGATCATTTCCGACTATGCAATCTTTTTACACAGGGTAAGAAGTAGATTAGCGAAACTTGACCTCACCCAGTGATTAAATAATAAAAAGGAAGCAAAAAAAAAAAAATGACTAAAAAAAGACATCAGTGACAAATTATTTGACAAACTCTTGTGCTATATTGAATCTGTTTATAATGGGCCTGTGAATAATTATGTTTAATTCAAAAATATTCACTGGACATCATCCATCCATGGTGAAGTGAAGTGTTCATCCATAGTTACGACTGGCATCAATCTTTCACCATCATCGTTTCTTGGAAGGATAATAGCAGACAGATCAACTTCATCCTCATGTAGCCACTCAAAATCCTCTGAATGTGCATTTTCTCTTCTGGCAATAACTGCCATGAGTTCTCTTTACCTTCTAGCGGCGATTCTCAAAGGACTGATGCGTTTTATCTGAGTTGATTCTGGAACAGTTTGGGTTAGCACATTCTCCCGAGCTCGAGCTCTGCGTTATCCTGCATGTTTCTTCGACATTGTTTGTGAGGCAAAGTATAAGTGACATACTTTGCAAATTTGATCAAGTAAGCTGGTCTGCAAAGATGGAAAATAAAGATCATATGGTTGTACTTTGAAAACTCCTGTTGATCTCGACAAGGCTATACGTAAAACAAGGCTTCGCAACAGCATACTAGCGCTCCTAGCGAGAGGAATCGTGAACAACACATTCAGGAGATACGCATTTTATGCTGTTTGACATAAAAATAATTCAAATATTTCACAAAATTTTTGAAAATTATTTTTAAAGCTATTAAATTCTACTAAAAAAAAATAAAATAAATGTGTGACGTCACACATGGCCTGACCACCCCCCCGGTCACAAACTGTCACACTTTCTTACATCCCCCCCACCCTCTGGAGCGTGACGTACTTTATGGACGGCCCCTTATTGCACTATAACAATCTATTACCAATTGGTAGCTTTTTAAATAGTAAACTACCAATACGCGCTTAGAAGCTACTGGTAGTGGAGTACCAATAGCTCTCTAGAAGCTATTGGTAGTTTACTACAAATAGCTCCTTAGAAGCTCCTTAGCTCCTTACTACCAATAGCCACAGCCTTTTAGATATATGAAAAATATTGGGAAAAAAAATGCAGGGGTTGCAGCCGGTGCGGTAAACTCATGGTGTCCAACCCCCCCCCCCCCGCCCCCCGGTAAACTCATGGTGTCCAACCCCACCCCCCGGTAAACTCATGGTGTCCCCAACCCCACCCCCGGTAAACTCATGGTGTCCAACCCCCCCCTCTACGCCAATTCCACGATGGATTTCTTCTAGTTAAAATTTTAAAGTCCACTGTATAACAATGACAAGAATAAAAACAAAATAATTGATCCTCAGGGGGGTAATTATATTTAAGAACTGTAACAACGTTAAGTTGTTATTTTTACATTAAATTTACTTTATTTAAAATGTTTCTTTCCTGGTCTTCAAAGCTGTAAACCTGTCAATCAATTGATCAAAATAATATCTGTCATCGCATCACTTGGATTGGTTACATGTGTAGAAAATTTACGTGTGATCGGTTATCCTTTTTTGAAACTTGGTTAGATCGAGCAGTGTTTGCTCTGTAAATATACAATTTTTCAATTTGGTGTCACCCCCCCCCCCTCCATGAGATGGTGTCAACCGGTGCGGTCCGCACTCCTTGCATCCCCCAGCTACGCCACTGGGTTGCAGGGCCAACAAGACGGCTCTGAGCAGAAAAACACATTTTTCGTGATTAATCTATCCATATTCTAAGACTTTGGGGAAAGGGGACTAGCAGGAGGTTAAGGTTTAGTCGTGAAAGAAGGTGTGCATGCTTGAGGGAGAGGATAGAGTTCGAAGGCATGGGAAGATGAGAAGAAAACCTCAAAATAGATTCACGGAAAATGAAGTTACAAGAGACAACTTCATGGGGCACATGATCTCACAGCTTTTGCTCCTTTTGTTGCATTTTTTAATGTCATTGCTCTTTCCAAGTCATTAGCTTTTAAAAGATCATTAGATCTAACTTATAACAGGGCATTTTAATATCTCAATTTTTAAATAAAATCAAGTTTCCTAGTTTTACTTTGAAAAAAACCAAAACATAATGTGCATGATTTCAAATCAATTCAAAATATAGGCTTAAACATTAAAAAAAAATAATTTTTTTTCAGTTTGAAAGGTCAAATTAACAAACAGGCCTTTTTGATTCGATTTCGGAGTAAAAACTGTTCTCGGTAAATATGTACTACCTAAACACTAATAATGGTTGTCAATTTTGATGTTGTTGACAAAGCCTTGGCTGTTGGTAGTAGTTGTGTTAGTGTTTTAGCTTTTGTGTTTTATAAATTATATAGAAACAGAACAGAAACTGCAAGACAAGTTCGAGTAAGTTGTTGTTTTAGCATACAATTTACAGTTAAAGCTAAACTCAAGGTCGTTGCATCATCATCGAATCACACTCACTCTCACAGTCAGTAGAATCAGTAGTCAGTAGTAATTTCAGTAAATGAGTAAATCTTCACTACACAAGGCAGACTCAGTCTCAAAGTCGACTCGCAATACAAAGTTTGAAAGACTGCGAGTGTTGTGTAGTAGAGTATTCAGTGAATTGTAGAAGTCAAACTTAACTAGCCTATCAAATTTAAATTACAAATTTAGTGATACAGTGAGTTGAGTGAGTCACAAGGCTTTACAAGTAACAAGAACAAGGCTAATTAGTAATTAACATTTTGGCAAATTCAATAACTATAACCAGTCATGAAATTGATATTAGTTGATTAGTACAGTAGTCATTTGTATATTTCAATCAGTCCAGACTCTTCTACAGTGATAAGTGAATTTCCATGATATAGGATTCTTTATTTATAAATGGAATATATTCATAGTTAGAAATTAGAAAACCTGTTCACGGCCCTTTAAATGCGGTTTTCAACATTATAAGACCCTCTGGGGATGAACAAATACGTAGACCTACATTCCATGCGTACAGTAATTTTAATAGACAAGGGTGTATAATTTACTCAGATAACCAAGCATGTGCTGTATCATTTTGACTATCTTGATCAACTTTTTAATGAATACATGATATATTTGAAAAAAAACAGCGAAAGAGTGAAGCTGCAAAAATTGAAGTGCGAAGTGGCGAGGGACAACTCTATTACTATTATAGCAGACTGAGTAGATCAGAGCTCTGCAGTGTTCTCTGGCACAATGGTGGGCCGCAAGCAGGGCCCCTAACTAAGTTTACACTTAAATTGATTTTAAACACCATTATTTATATGTAACTCAATTAAAATACCAAGAAATATGAACAGTAAAATAAAACTTAACACATATACATTTAATTCAAAACTTACAAAACTAATGTTTGTTATCTCTTACTTAACAGATTTTATATTCATTTTTTTAGCAGCAAATATTCAATAATCATTTTCAAATGATTTTCTTAATATAAATTGTATGAAATACTTCTGCTTCTATAAGTACGTTTGCTTTGCAGCATTAGTTTATGGCAAGGCATTCACATCAGTGTTGAATTTCTCCTTCTTAGGATGGTAGTTAAAGCAAGCAATAATAAATCACACATGTGAGATTTTCAAGGTTTTTGTCACTTTAAGTGTCTTATGTCTCAACAGATGACCTAAAGTATTATGGACCTTTACAGATAATATATTGGAGGTCAAAATATTACTGAAATTATTCTTAAATTTTCATATGTTGGAAGTCCTGCTCTACTTAGCAACAGTGCTTTTTTATTGATTTAAATGTGCTGGTACTGTCAAGTCTTGTTGACAACCCTGTTTGTGTCACTCCTGCCACATCTAAACATTGAACCTGTTCACATGAACTTGTACAAGCAGAAGTCTCCCAAGAGAATGTTTTGGAGGGTGTGCTCTGGGTAGGGGCTGAGTGAAAACAATACAATAAATGAGAAAAGAAATGGATGGAAATATCCTTACTTTTCTTACTTGAATCTTGGGAACTTCATCTTAACTTCGTCTAAATTCTTTTAATGTTTGTAACGCATACTTTAGATTTTGAACAACTTCCTGCCACTTCTAAATTATTCATGTTGCTATCAAGCTAATTTCCATGTTTCTTTTTTTGTTATTTCTTACTTTGTCTGCTGATGAAGGCTTTCACCCTAAACATTGTTTTTATTGACCTGTTATTTCTATTTAAGTGTGCACTTATCCTCTAAATTTCAATTTTTGTTATCAGTAGGCCTCATTAAAATAAATAAGTTATTGCAAAAAAAATGTCCTTTAAACCTTTTTAGTATTGGAGAAAAAGTAATAAGCTTAGGAGGCTTTTTGAATAAAAATGGGTTTGGAAAAGGGTGAGCCTGGTAGTAAGCAAATGTTTTGATTGACTGCTGAATATTGAGCACAAAAAAAATAATAATATATACTTTTCATAACCAGGCAACAAATTTGTTCAGAATCTTCATGGTTTTTAAAAAAAACTACTTTTTATATTTGTAAACATCCCTTTAACTCTAGTAGATTTTTGGTATTAGAAAAAATGCTCTTTAAATATAATTTCATGTGATAAATCTTTCTACAATTAGACCCATCAGAGCCCCTTTATATTTCTGACAGGACCCTCTCTTCATTCAACCTTTCATTCCCAACTGCCCAGCGTTAGTGGTCTACCACCTCCGAGGTGGTTGTGCTGCCCATTTTGAGAACCATTTGTTCCGTTTATGAATAAAAAAAAAAAATAATAAAAAAAAAAAAAAAATTAATTTCAGAACATTCAAATATGGAATCCAGACCCAGATCTTTACAACCACTTGAATTTGCAAGAAAGTCAATGTCTAGCTTATGCAGCTGTGGAGGGAGTGGTCAAAGAAATGAATCGTGTTCTGCACAGCCACCATAGAGGAGATGAGGGCGTGATCTTGCATTCTGAAATCATAGAACATCAGTCAAAGCGGGTCAATGGATTTTGGTAATTGTAATCAACAGCTGTCATGTTCTCTGTTTATTCAACTTATGTTATGAAGAAAATAATACGGAGTTGAACTGTCAGTTCTAATAATACTGAGTTGAACTGTCAGTTCTAATAATACGGAGTTGAACTGTCAGTTCTAATAATACTGAGTTGAACTGTCAGTTCTAATAATACTGAGTTAAATTGTAGTTTCTCAGATGACAGAGTGGAACTATTGGTTCTAATAATACTGAGTTAAATTGTAGTTTCTCAGATGACAGAGTGGAACTATTGGTTCTAATAATACTGAGTTAAATTGTAGTTTCTCAGATGACAGAGTGGAACTATTGGTTCTAATAATACTGAGTTAAATTGTAGTTTCTCAGATGACAGAGTGGAACTATTGGTTCTAATAATACTGAGTTAAATTGTAGTTTCTCAGATGACAGAGTGGAACTATTGGTTCTAATAATACTGAGTTAAATTGTAGTTTCTCAGATGACAGAGTGGAACTATTGGTTCTAATAATACTGAGTTAAATTGTAGTTTCTCAGATGACAGAGTGGAACTATTGGTTCTAATAATACTGAGTTAAATTGTAGTTTCTCAGATGACAGAGTGGAACTATTGGTTCTAATAATACGGAGTTGAACTGTAGTGTCTGCTTCTAATAAATAGACGCTATGATTGGTAACCTTTTACTAATTTAGTAATTGAGAATGCATTTTAATTTAGTAGTTGCTAGATTTTGATTAATATTGAGAAATTCGTTAAAATACCACGCACGCCACAGCTGACAATCCACAGCTGTGGAGCAAAATGGTTTATCTCTGAAAATAAAATATTGGAGATAAGATTTTAAAATGTACCTCAGCCTTCAGGTGATAACTGATTGGCGGTTTATTTTTTTATTAAATCTTTATCTCTTTAGGAGTGACGTCAAAAAGGTGATTAGAGACACGACAGAGATAGTGCCCTTTGCTTTGATCAAAGCAGGTCAAGGAGACATGAAATACCGCATCGAGGTATTGGAGCCCAGCCAAGCCTCAAACATTCAGGAAGAGCTGGACACTGTCTTTGATCACTTTGAACCAAATAAAAGTGGCCTGATGCAGGTGCGTCAATCAATTATACTTAACACTGAAAGACATCAATGTTTTAATATATTGGTGCCTTTCTGATTCTGATAAGGGTACGTTGCTGCATCCATGTACTGGCATATGTGCAACAGTTGGGGAAGCAATGCTGGTATCCTAACGGCTCCTAGCGGGTGTCAGGGCAGCCTTGAAGCTCTCGATTGTCGTCAAGTCCACGGCGACATTGTTCAGGTGGTTCCAAGCAATTAGTGTTTGTGGGAAGAATGATTGTTTATATTGGACTGTGTTACACCGAGGCACAGTGAAGCATTTACTATTGTTCTCAATGTAACTGCTCATGGAGGTGAAGTCAGTGTTTATTGAGCATTTGGCTCTAATTAAGCGACCTGGCTTCTGTGGGGTTAGACGCGTGTTAGCTGGGATGGCCTGCACTAGCTTTGAATGCTTTTGCTGATTTTAAAAGGGACATACAGTGTTTAGCCCTAGAGATCCCATCGTTAGGTAAACAGTTGGAAAATTATATTACATTAACAAGTGTCATACAGCAAAAAAGTCTTTTGTGGTGTGCTGGACACAAATGTCAAAGACATATAGTGTTTACTTCTTGTGGCAGAAATCGGTAAAGAAAATAAAAAAATAACAAAATGAAACAAACAAACTTTGCTTTCCATTAGCCATTAAGTAGAAATGTTTCAAGTAGCAATAGGAAACCAAATCTTGAAATTGATAGTAATAAGAAATAATATATTGCAATATAATTATTTAGATTACCAGCATCTAGTGTTAAAAAAGAAAAAATCTAATCCAGTTTGGATTCAGGAACTCTATTTCACAGCAGTGAAGTTTAAACAAATGATTCATGAAATAAACTATCTCGTTTAGGTTGGTTTAGACCGGCTGTTTGGGGAAGTCACCAAAGGGATCCAAGAAACAGAGTCGATGCTCCTGACAGGTACTTCAGTCTTAGGCATCGGAAAAGTTTTTCTGGAGCGCGGACAAGTAAAATTAGGACCCCCTGATGACACATCAATGTCATACATCATCACGAAAATGCGGCTTCCTGCACTTGTTCGTTCATTTGAATCGCAATCATCAACTTTTAAAATACTCTCGATTCTGTGTCTGGTCTTGGGTGGCGGCATGCTGTCTTATCTCATATGGCGACACCTGCAAAAGGTTTTAGAGCAGAACAGGAGGAGAGAAGAATTCGAGGAGATCAGGAGATCGATCGCCGCCAGCAGAAGTCGGGTGATGAACAATGATCCGCAAGGGGAGGTTAGAGATGAGGAAACCTGTGTCGTGTGTCTGACCAATGCCCGTCAGGTGATAGTGCTGAACTGTGGACACATATGTCTGTGTGCTCAGTGTGCTGAACTTCTGCCCAGTCCCAGGCGGTGTCCGGTGTGTAGAGCAGAAATTGACAGATTCATGCCAGTTTATCGTCCATAGTTAACCATTTAAAATAAAACCCAAAAGTTGCAGATGTTTTGAGTGATAGAAGAGAGCGATGGAGTCAGATTGTTTGGGACTTGCAATGTCTATTTTTAGACCTTATTGATTTACTTTTCATGAATAACTTGTTAAGTGATGATTATTCAACAACATGAACATTTTTGCCAAACTGTTTGACATGTACGGAGAGTTAGCTTTGTCCACTTTGTTTGGTTTATGTGTACAAGTGTTTAGTTTAGTTGGTGTATGTGCTAGTGTCTAGTCTAGTTGGTGTATGTACCAGTGTCTATTGTAGTTGGTATAATGTACTAGTGTCTTAGTCTAGTTGGTGTATGTACCAGTGTCTAGTCTATTAGGTGTATGTGCCAGGCACTAGTCTATTTGGTGTATGAGCCAGGCAATAGTCTTAGTTGGTGTATATACCTGTGTCTAGTATATTTTGTGTATGTGCCAGGCACTATTCTATTTGGTGTTTGTGCCAGGCACTAGTCTATATGGTGTATGTGCAAGTGTTTAGTCTAGTTGGTGTATGTGCCAGTGTCTAGTTTTGTTGACAACCCTGTTTGTGCCACTCCTGCCACATCTAAACATTGAAACTGCTCACATGAACTTGCACAAAGTTTCTTTTAAGAAATTACAGAATCAAAAGTTCTATAGTAATAGTTCTTATTGATCTTAATTTTTTTTTTATTGTTCAAGGTTTGTTCCTTGCTTTGCTTTGTTCTGGTTTTGTTTAAAGAAAATTTAATTAATTGGTTTCTTAGACATACGCCCAACAAACCAGTTTTTAAATAGTCTATTAGCACATTGGGTAACATTCAAGTTTGTGAGTAGATTGGGTAACATCCAAGTTTATGAGTGCATTGGGTAAGCTCCAAGTTCCTATTAGCACATTGGGTAGCATCCAAGTTCCTGTTAGCACATTGGGTAACATCCACAATTCTGTGAGCACATTGGGTAACCTCCAAGTTCCTGTAGCACATTGGGTAACCTCCAAGTTCCTGTTAGCACATTGGGTAACATCCAAGTTCCTGTTAGCACATTGGGTAACATCCAAGTTTCTGTTAGCACATTGGGTAACATCCAAGTTCCTGTAGCACATTGGGTAACCTCCAAGTTCCTGTTAGCACACTGGGTAAGATCCAAGTTTGTGAGCTTATTCGGTAACATCCAAGTTTCTGTTAGCACATTGGGTAACATCAAAGTTTCTGTTAGCACATTGGGTAACATCCAAGTTTGTGAGCACATTGGGCAACATCCAAGTTCCTGTTAGCACATTGGGTAACATCCAAGCTTCTGTTAGCACATTGGGTAACATCCAAGTTTCTGTTAGCACACTGGGTATCATCCAAGTTTCTGTGAGCCCATTGGCTACCATCCACAATTCTGTCTTCAATTCCCAAGTCTGAAAGCTAGTTTATTCAAAGGGCACTTTAAAATGTCTCCTTCCGAAGGTCTTAATGATTCATCTTTCGCTTTGGGTACCATCCAGTTTATTTTGTTGTATGATATGTACTGTTGTGATTGGGCACCATCCATTGTATATTGTTGTATGATATGTGCTGCTTTGATATGCATATATGTGCCCCACAAATAGACATATGCCTTGTGTATAGTCCATTTCATGCTGTGTGTCTAGTTCCTAGTTCCGGTACTTGCATTGTTTGCTTTGTTGCCATACCCCATTTCTTGGAAGCCCCTGCCTTTGATACGCCAATATCCGAAGTATTTATGTTTTTACTATAGTTTTTTCTGGTCTTGGAAGCGGCACAAATTTGAAAACAGCCCGGCTCTGTACTAATTCTAGTTACTGCACCCGAGTGGCTCGGTACTATCTCTATCTATGGCACCCGTCTGGCTCGGTACTATCTCTATCTATGGCACCCGTCTGGCTCGGTACTATCTCTATCTACGGCACCCGTCTGGCTCGGTACTATCTCTATCTACGGCACCCGTCTGGCTCGGTACTATCTCTATCTACTGCACCCGTCTGGCTCGGTACTATCTCTATCTACGGCACCCGTCTGGCTCGGTACTATCTCTATCTACGGCACCCGTCTGGCTCGGTACTATCTCTATCTACGGCACCCGTCTGGCTCGGTACTATCTCTATCTACGGCACCCGTCTGGCTCGGTACTATCTCTATCTA